GAAAGAGGTCGCTTTTCTATTAGCTTTGACAAATCCACTTCAGTCAGATACCATCGTTTTAAAAATCTGAGCCTACATCGTTTAGATGATTTTCAATCAATGATCCGTGTCAACAGATGCATGAACACTGAAAAAGCTATTCACCTTGTTAAGTTTAGATTGTCTGAATTCCAGTTTTGATCCATTTTGAAGAACAGTGTTTAATGTTTCCAATAAAGAATGGGCTAAGATTAAAAATCAATGCGATGCTCTTGCTCCAATTCAGATGACTGTGGAATATTTATGCAAGGAAGATGCTGATCTTTTGCTTGCTGAAAATGTTAGTTAATTTGCTGCCAAGAAGATGAATGATCAAAGGACATCAATAAGTCTTGCTCTCCCAGTTCGAATTCAAGAGAGAAGAAACCCCAATCTTGTACACTTAATACAATATTTAAGAGCAAAACGATCAGTTTGGTCTAAAAATAAAAAAACGTAATATAATATCATTGTCTGCTTCACTTTAAACAGTCAGCAGGTGGAGAGTTACCAGTTGATTTTGAAGTTACTAGTACTCCTGATCAATCATTAAAAATTGATGAAAATATGCTCTTTCAGATAAATTTGCTTCATTTATTCAACAAACAGAGCACGGAGCTATCACCGTAGATAAAATTGGATCTAAGATTAAAAAAAAAAAAGAGATGAGTTTGTTTGAAGCAACTAGTGCAAGGTCTAATAATCTTGAAAAACTTTTTAAAGCTTTATTAACTATGAGCTTTATTTACCAACATCAGTGGAGCCTGAGAATGAGGTTTTTCGCCGCGAAAATATCAAAAATAGATTGGGATTTGACCCTTGACTCATTGATTTTAATATGCCAGTTCTACAAAAAACTTAAAAAAAAGAAAAATGTAGTTTAAAGAAAAAAGATATAACGTTTCTTCATTTTAGCCTTATTTTATAAAAACATGTTGTTTTTATAGGTTATTGAATTGCTGCTTTAACATCTAATTGATAAAAATTATCCGGGTATTAAATAGGTATTACATGGGTGAATTTAAAATTCAATTACCCGGGTAAATTTTTGACCGGATAATGGAAACATTGGTCTCCGTCAAGTTTTATCGTACTTTTTTTTTGTTTTAATGACAAATCAAATAAAAATAAACTATACTTAGGGGGGACATTTTTTTCAGGTACTCGTCTTTAGTAAGTTAGTAATATATGAGTCTTACGTCTTACTCAGTGCCGGGGGTAGGCTACTCATACCCCTTAATTAAGAGGGGGGGGAGGAGAGTAGGAGGACCCAGAAAAAAAAGGGTTCCTTTTGAAAATTTAAGGAGCTTTTTATTTTGGCAATACCTAGCGGTAAAATTTGGAAGATTTTGAGATTTTAAATGACACGTTTTTTGGGGGATCTTCCGACCCATTAGCCACGACACTGCTGAAACCTTTTTTTCGCGAAGCGAAAGTACGTACTTTTAAATTGATAATAAATAATATAAACTTCTTGGCAACACTACAGTATGGCATTTTTAGCCATACATAACTAACTCAGTTTGTCACATTCCCAACGTGGCATAGGAGTCGACACGTCGAGCCCACTAGCACACTTGAACTGTTCATAAAAAAATAAGCCAAACCGTGCTATTTTTATCAAACAAGGCAACTTTCCTGGAGATAATCCAATGGTCAGGCACACTGTTTCATTGAAGATCAAATCGCTTTTTTGGCCTCGAAAACTTACCAACTTTTCTACTACAACCTCAATTTATTTAGAGCCGCGACTACTGAGCAATATCCGCGCACATTGTAGCTGTCGATTGGGAAACAGAATTTACGGTCTAAACGCAAAATATAATAAACTGGATATCAACTCGGTTACATAACCGAAGTCAACGATTGGTCATCAACGGCATCACATCTAAATGGCAAGTGGTCGCTAGTGGCGTTTCTATAGGCTTGGTCTAGAGCCCATTGCTTTTTGTAATCTTTATAAGAGAATGACTTTATATGATGCCTAACAGCATCGCTTATCAAATGAAACTGCCAACGACAGTAAAACTGTTAGCATAATTAAAAATAAGTCGGACAATCATTTCAGTCCGACAGTAACAGTCCGACAGTCGGACACTCTCCAAATTGACAGAACAGTGAAATTATCATAAATTTGACTCATGCATTTCAGCGTTAAGGAATTTGAAGTAATGCATGTTGGCCGCAAGTATAGCAATTTACCGCACGAATACTCTAAGGCTAACGTCGATGGCACGCATTGTCCACCTAAAAAGACTGTAGTCTTTAGTCAATTTATTTTTTTGATCACTAAATCATTCAGTGATCAAAAAAATAAATTGACCAAAGACTGCAGCCTTTTTGTTCATTCAGTTTAAATGAAATGAAAAAATAAATGTGAAGACTTTTATTGTAGTATACAATCATATAGAAATAGCTGCTAGAATGATGCAACTTGTTTAATGATATAAAAGTTAGAAGTATCAACAGAAAACATTACTAACTGAAGACGCTCCAGTAAACACTTTAATAAACATATTTTAGAAGTAATTTTTTTTCTTAAAAAAAAAGAAAAAGTTGTTTTGTCTTTGGCATTTTAACCGAACAACATGAAAGTGTTACTAAATGTAGCATTTTTCAAGATCCAATATTCAAAATCCAAAAAATTAATGATTTCAGAAAAAAGAAATTTTTACAAATATATAGGAAAAATTAAATTAGTTTTAAAAGTTTTAACATTTTTTCGTTTAACTTCAACCCACTTATGAAATTGGCTGCTTTGATGATTTTTGTTTAAAATATTACAAACAACCGAAGCGTATGTAATAGTTTTATAGGAGATATATCAATATAATTATAAAGATATCTTGAAGTGTTTGTTTGACATAATTTATGAACATTACAATTTAATACAGTTGTATTGGTATACTTTTAAAAAATATACTACTTTTAAAGCAGTTGGAATGAATTATGTAATATATATTTCATTTTGAGATGTACTAACAACTAAAAGTTTTTATCTTATAATATTAATATATTAAAATACAGCCGTAATAGCTATTTGTATCGACCTAATTTTGTATCGGCTTAATTTGGATTGTCCATAATACAGCCATAATAGCTATTTGTATGGACTTAATGTCTTGTATTTGATTAATGTCTTGTATATAATTTGTATTTGACTTAATTTGTATGAATCGTCCATAAATTACACAACAAAAAAAATATTTTAAGAACAGAAGATATTAAGCTATTTTACGCGGCAATTTTCATTTAACTTAATTTCCTATTTTGATTATTTATTTAAATTAAGATTCTGAGAGGAAAAACATTTGATCCTTTTTGTTTTGTTTATTGTGAAATTTTGCGTTACGTAATTTATGGATGATCCCTTAGTGTTCAAAGATTTGATTGTTTTTATAACAATAAGTTAAGAGTAACTTTAAGTTAAGTGTTACTTTTAAATTATTGTTAAAAAAATAAAAGAAACAAAATGTCAATTAAAGTTTTGTCTTTCCGTTGTTCTTTTGTCCAGTGCGATACGCACGCTCGATTTCAATATCTTTAACACAAAGTTTTTGATTGAAAAATAATTGGACGTTTTCTTCTGTTTGTCCCAAGTTTCATTTCCGTCTTCGTATAAACCATCTATTCGTAGAATTCTACATTCACGTAGAATTCTACGTGAACGATCTTCAAGTTTTCAGTGTTTTTTTTTTAACTTCATTTTTATTTAATTTTTTTTTTTAATTTTTTGCTATTGTATTTGAATTTTTTATCAATAATGTTTTCGTTAAAGCTAATACTTTGGTTTATTTTTCAATTTTTTTGATTTTAATTACATTTTCATTAGCATTGGTCTTAAGCCTGTCTAATCTTTCGTTTATATTTTTCAGATTTCCACTGATTATGTCTAAAACTGTTTGTTCGTGTCTTATAAACATAGCTTCGGTTTATAAAATGTTTAATGAATTTAAAAAAGAAACAGTTTCTTTTTTAAATTCATTAAACATTTCTTTTTTTAAAGTCGCCAAACACTTCTTTAAACATTTTTTTTATTTTTTGAAGAGTCAATGTCATATTAATTTACAATGATGCTGAGTTTTTCAAAAGCATTTCCAAAATCAACTGAAAAAACTGTTATAAAATTTTATGAGCAAAACAAAGTTGTAAAAAGAAAATCAGGAAGTGGTGGAAAATCAAGGTTCATTTCCTAAAAGAAGACAAAGTCAATAGTCGACAAAATTCATCAAAATAATACTTAGTCGTGCAAATTTTAGCTGCGAAGTTTAAATGCAGTAAATCTTTCTTGCAAAGAGTATTTAAAAAGGAACATCTGAAAACATATCACGGTAAGGATTGAGTGATCTAGTTGAGTTCAAAGTTTTTGGGAATCATTTTTTTTAAAACAATTGCAAATAGGTGCGATCTGTCATTAGTGCATGGCAGTTGCACATACTGAAATAACTGCAATTTTCCATAAGTGTGCCAAAAGAAATTTTAAACTTCGGCATAAGCGTGAATTGATAAAAGTGCCAAATCTGCAGTGTGAATTCTATGCCAAATTTTTTAAATTTTTTTGATGCACTTATGACAGCTAGCGCTATTTTAATTTAGCGCACATGTACCAGTTCGCATACACACACGTACACAATACATATGCCATTTCGCACTTGTTTAATTCGCTAATGTTTGAAAATTCTTTTGGCGCATTTATGCAATTTGCACTTATACCAATTACTTAAGTTAGTAAATTTGCACTTTTGCCAGTTTTTACAACTGTTTAGCACTTATGACAATTCGCACTTACGTCAATTCACATTTATGTCAGTTTTTGCAAATTTTTTTGACACACTTATGACATAAGCCGTTATGCCAGTTCCCAATAAAGCCAGTTTTTCCAACTGCTTCGCATTTATGCCAGTGTGCACTTATAAAGTTCGCACTTAATATAGTTTCGCGTGGTTAAGAACAAAAACAAAATTTAAAACGAAGGAAATTGATCATTAAAATAACAGCATAATATTTTCATACAGTTTAAAATATTAATATAAAATAAATAATTACAGAATATTTAAAATAAATAAATAATTTCAGAAAAAGATTCACCAGAGAAACTCGGTGTTTCCGACAATACAATTCAAATTTACAAACTGAATTTGAAAAACCTGTTTATTAAAAATGACAAATGATATTGTGTAAAAAATGACAAATGATATTGTGTAAGTTAATAATTGTATAAACTGCAAGTTTTTTTCCTCACAAAAAATGCTGATGTAATTTAACGGTAGCTTGCAAATATTTTAATCCCTAAATTAGAAATTATAATGTTATAATAATTTAAATTATAAGTTATATAAATATAAGGTAGAGAAATTTTGATAAAAAAGAATTTTGCAGTAAATAGTATGTATATCTTTTTTAAACTCGTAATTTTTATATCGGGCTTATAATTTCAAGACCGTTGTTTAAAATAATAGTTTTATATTTTATGAACCTTTTTTACTATTGTTTTTCTACTCTTACTTACGTCATTAGAGTGTATGAAATAAAAAGTTTATAGATTATAAACACGCTTACTGTAAACGATTGTTTTTTTGATGGTTTTCCCAAGTTTTATGTTAAGCATATTCACTTATTAGTTTGTACTCAACTTGCCCCACGAAGTTGCTCAACTTAACCCATTGATACAGGTTGAGCAGCTTGGTAAACTTTATATATAAACGTAATATTTAAATATATTTAAACGTAATATTTTTTCAAACAAATCAAAGAATTCAAAAAAATTAAAAAATTTTAACCTATTTTTATCAAGTTAAATTTCTTGCAAAAGTGAAAAAACTATTTAAATCCAATCCACCATTGATGAGATAAATTAGATTAAGTAAAACTTGCTCTACTAGCCACGCTCTAATCTACATAATATGTATAGATTATTTACATAATGGTTGTAGCATACAGTCTACGGTAGCGCGTTTTACCGGTCTTTACCTATTTTTTTATTAACATTATTAATATTAACTGCACAATGCAAAAGTATAACTATTGATTTATTAATAACATCATTATTGACATCATAATTATTACAAATATTATTGTTAAACTTAGAAACTCTATCTTATTTTTACACATAGATTTTAATATTTGTTGACTTTTTACATCTATCATTTTAACTTTTTTTTTTATAAAGCTGTTTGATATAAATGCTGCATGCAATAATTGTTCACAAAAAGTTATTGCTTGCAGCAATCACTGCATTATTAACTGTTTTTTCAAGGTGGTACTAAAGCATTAAAATTGTGAAAATGTTGCTTTTTTTTAAGGTGGTACTAAAGTATTAAAATCGTAAAAATGTTGCTTTTTTTTAAGGTGGTGCTAAAGTATTAAAATCGTGAAAATGTTGCTTTTTTTTTCAAAGTGGTTCTAAAGCATTAAAATCGTAAAAATGTTGCTTTTTTGGTCTTCTGTTCAACAAGTATAAAATTTAATTCTGGATTCAAATATATATATATATATATATATATATATATATATATATATATATATATATATATATATATATATATATATATATATATATATATATATATATACACCTTTAACATAGTTTTGTAATAATATCATAAGATATATGATTTTTAAAAACCTAGTTCTGATTTTATTTGCTTAGTAACGCCTTAACAACGCCAAACAAGATTTGCTTTTGCCATAATATTATTAATACATAGTTTTTTTTAAAACAGAGATTCCTATTGAATATTTGCAAATAAATTTCAGAAAAACATCAGATCATAAGAACAACTAGCTCATACTAATGGTGGGTTTTAGTCAATTGGTAAAGTGAACAGTTTTTAAAAACTTTTTTTTTACTATTAAATTATTAATATACAAAAATTAATAATATACACAAATACTTATAATATAATATCTAAAGGTGCAATTACGATGAAATTTTTCGGATATGTTTATTATAGTTATACTCAGGAGTTGTGCTAAAATTAGGTTCCAATGTAAATCAGTTCATTAAGTGTTTTCACATATGTCCACTACCTGACATGTGCAGCTGATTGATTATTGTAAATTTACCTTTACTCCTGAACTATACGTATTCAACACACAATTCTAGTACAACTCCTACATCAATATAAGATCTTTGTACTGATTAAGTGTTTGAACAATTAAGTTACCCTTAAAACATCTTAAAACATAGCATTTTGTCTATTTTTTATTTTTCTGAGTTTTAAAATTTGGATAAGCGAGACAAAAAAAATATTTGTTATTAATTGTTTTAAAAGTTTACATTTTTTTTAATTAATTATTTATCTTTTTAACTATTGCTTTAGTAGCACCTTTTGAATTATTTTATTATGTGGAGTAAACTTATATTCGAATAAGAATACTATTCAAATGATAATAGAGGTAATATAGACATTTTCAAAAAATGGTACTTACATTTTTCCTAACATAACAATAAGGTTAGAATCATGTAAAGACCACCACTCCTTAACACTAAATTTAAGGAAGATAGCGTTTTCCGAATCATATTTTGATCGAAGACCACATCCATATCTGACAACTTGCATAAAGACAACGGGAATATCAGGATAGTATTTTTTAAAATCATTCCATGCTTTTTCAACGCTCTGTAATGCATTAACTCTCTATAAAAAAATATTTAACTTTAACAAACATTTCCTAAAATTTGTTAAAATGATTTACAAAACATTTCAAACAATCATTTTGCTGGATTGCATTCATCAATGCTGAGACTTTTTTTCACTTTTGTAAAGCTTTTTACTTAAATACCTTTACTTAAATGCAAACTTACAGAATTTTAAAATGCTTACAAAAGCATTTTATAATGCTTTACAAAAATATTGAAAGTTTTTCCTGTGTAGGATAGTTCTTTGTTATAGACAGTAAAAAGTACTGTTTAGTCGACTTATCGCTGATTCCAAGTCATGAGTACAATAAAAAAGCTGGTCATTTATTATGAATACAAAATAATAATATTTCACAAAGCAAGGAGCGCAGTTGATTTTTGATGCTTAAAATTAAAATAGAATTTGAAAGAAAAAATTTAAGTTTTTGGCTTCGCATATATTTAACAATTATTATTATGAAGTTTGTGATTTCTTGTAGTTTGAAAAGGAAAATTCGAAATTTAAATATAAAAAACTTTCTTTTTATAAATTTGTATTGCTACTGCATAAGCTTCAACTTATGCTGTTACAATGAAAAATAATTTTAAAAAATATTTCAAGGATCATTATCAAAAAATTCATCAGATTTTTATTTAAATTAAAACTCTTTCATAGACTATTAATGGTTGTTTTCATTTGACATCTCGGAATTGCGGTCGACCTTGGCGGCCATATTTATACTCAAACAACTATGTAACGACAGTAAATAAACACTGCATCCTCTAACTATTAAATATAAACCGCCTTCATTATGCCTATTTGTTCAATTTATGGTTGTAGTAAAAGAAACGAGTCTCAAAAAAATGTCCCAGAAGAATTGAAAGTGTTTTTATGAGTATGGAAAGGTGGCAACTGTAGAAAGGTGCAGTAAATAGAAAAGAAATAGGAATAAATTGTCCACTTCTACTGCTTGTAAAAAAGTAAAAACGATGCTACAAAGTTAAATGCAGTTTTTGATTTTGTATTCAGGGATTATATCAGTCCACATATGACAGATTCAACAGTATCCCTAACAAAAGAACAAATATTTCTATTATGTCTAATCAAAACTTAAATGAATTACCAATTCCAATATATTGCAAATTAATTAGAAATAGCAATAGCAACAGTGCAGAGAAGCTTTCACAGAGATTCAGACATAGGGTAAAGCTGGGTAATAAAATCAGAGGGGTAATAAGATCAATTTTAGAATAGTCTAAACTAAACTAGTTAATGTAGTTGTGTTAAAAAAAAATATTTGTTTTTACGTGATAGAAGTTTACTTATTAATTAAGGGAGTACTTTAAAACATTTCTAGGGTTTACATTTATAACCATTATTAATTTGATTTTTAATATCGAAGTTTTTTACGACAATTTTTAGGTTTGTTCAAAGTTTATGAAAAACTTTGCCGAACCAAGTGCTTTTAAGTTTTTAATTAAAAAGTAAGTTGTTTGTTTTCATTTTTCTTGAAAGTAAAGTAGCATCTAAGTTAAGTAAGTACTTTCTTAAAATGCAATCATACTTAAGTTATATTTTGATATAAAAAAAATAATTTAAATATCTTATTTTTTCTTAGTTAAAAATAACGAAGTCGTTGAGCCGTCTAAAGGTTTACACATTTTAAACATATATCTTCAAAATTAACTTAGACAAAAAATTTTTTTGTATTACTAGCAAAAGTAAGACTTAAAATATGGTTTAATATAGTTGAAAAAGCATTGAGAAGTGCAGGAATTATAAACCTTCCTAGTCAAATATTCAACTCTGATAAAACATGGTTCATCACGGCCCCAAAGGAACAAATTTTATAAGCAAAATGAGGTGCTGCTAGAAAGTTGCAGAGCATTGGTGGCTCAGGTTGGGAGCAAATTACTGCAAATTGTGCATGCTCGGCTAGTTGTCATATATTGCCACCATACGTAATCTACAAAGGAAAAAATTTGTATATGGACTGGGTTAAAAGTGGTGCTAATGGAGCTGTTTATACTATTAATAATAAGAGCTAGATAGAGTGTCCTCATTTTTTGGAATGGTTAAAAACATAATTCTAATGTATACAAAGCATCTTGAAAACCACACACGTGTACTTATATTTAATGCCGATATTTTTCATATTAGCTCCCCACTTATTGATTTGGAAAAAAAATGTTATTCTTTTACGCATTTCTGCTCATCTACCCATCTTCTTCAACCTTTAAATACACCTATTTTTCGACCCGTAAAAAGTAAATGGCAAAGTTACTTCTAAAAAATGCAAGAGCACATAATGAACCTTTCTTAAAAGAACATTTTCAAGAATTATTACGCATCTTTTTTCAGAGTTCTTTTACTGTGGAACAAATCAAAAGTGGTTTTAAAAGAACTGGCATTTTCCCTCTAAACAAGGATGCTATTGACACACGTTTTTTTATTTGATGTTTTCAGTTACCAGTAAAGAAACCCACATTTACCTCTAATAACCTCACAAGATCATGTTTAATGCTTTACCTTCAAAGCATATCTGTTAATGATGCTTCCTTTTCAACATCAAAATCATCTGCTTTATCGTTACGCATTTTTACATCATCTTCAGACTCATTATCAAAGATTTTTTTTAAAACAGTTACAGTCAAAATGTGGAGTAACCTCTTATTGTAGAAGATCTGCTCGGGTTATTAGGTTTCGCCATTTTGAAAGTTTAACATCAGAAGTTTAAAACGAAAAAGAGAAGAAGCTCCAAAAAAACAAGAAAAGAAATGTTAAAGAAAAAAATACATAAAAAAAAGAGTTCCTTCAGATAAAAATGATAGTGATTATGATGACAACGATGACACTGTATTTCCTAATTGTAGTGTCCACGGAGATTGAGGTGATCAGTGGGTGTGCTGTAATGCTTGTGACATTTGGTATCATGTAAAATGTACTGTAATAACTGAATTAGACAATGTTAAAGTCATGGAATGGAAGTGTGGCTTTAAGTTTATGTAAAAAATCAAGCTTAAAAAGTTTTATTGTTAATTTTTATTATTATTATTTGTTTGATGCAACTTCTATTGCTACTACAAATTACTTAATATAATTATCTATAGGTATCAGCATGATTTTCTGATAAATTAGATATGACACTTAAAGGCTACGCGCTACGCCTGGGAACGAAAATATGTTTCTCAATATGTTTACCCCTTACCTCAATATGTTTACCCCTTACCCTTTATCGTAATGGCAATAAACTTTTTTATACTACTTTAAAACATATTAAAACTCTTCAACAGGTTTTTAGTTTCATATAAAAATCATTTAGTGTTTGAAAATTATGATCAAGTAAAATATACAACCCCCTCATTTTAAGGAGGATGATAATCTCACATGATCATAACTTTTTATCACTAAAAGATTATAAAATCAATTTTAAAACCTGTTGATAAATTTTAATGTGCTATAAGATAGTAAAAATGGTGTCAAAACTTTGGGTATCTTAGTTCCCAGGCTCAAGTCACCACAATATTTTGCAAACTTCAATTCAACTCATATATATATATATATATTCTGAAATAGTTGTTACATTCACGGAAGTTTACAAATAGTACATGTAAAACATTCTTATTTGACATTTGGATAGTACATTTTTTTCATGTTTCAGATAGTACACTTTTAGGCATTGTGCAAAGCTTGCACAATGCCTAAAAGTTTACTATCTGAAACATCAAAAAAATCCTGTTTGCCCTATTTGACAATGTTTGCATGTATGTTTGTAATGTAATGTTTGCTACTATTTAGCTGTTAATTCTGCATAAAAAGTTGTTCACCTTTATACAAAAACGTGTTTTTTTTTCTTAAAAGTATTTTTGTTTAAGATTTTCTAATTTCAGTTTATTTCTTAAAAAGTAACTGAAACATAATAAAAAATTTCTATTAATTGGAGATCATTAAAGTAGGGATAAAAGGAATAAATAGGCGTGTTATTGCATATTTTACATTTTATGCAATGCCCAAGGCACTTTAATTACATAAAGAGATGATATTTAAGTTATCAAATGGAAGTTTATCATTTGTGCTAAGTCTTGGTCAAGATATATAGATTGAATATACCTGGTCTTATTGTCCCGCTTTTCTTTATTTTTTGCGATTATTTTTTTTAGCTTCAAATCAGTAATGGCACTATAAGAAAACTTTTTTTTTCAGTGGTATGCCAGGTATAAACATATGTTGTCTGTTATCAGGAAAAAAATAAATTTGAAACTTCACATTAGTCATTTATTTCAATAGAAAAATTTAAAAGTATATAAAAAAGTGGTTTTAATGCCCTCTTTTCCCCAACTTGTTGCAAGGTTGTCATTTTTAATTAAATGGTCCGGAAGAGAAGAACTTAGGCAAACAATGCCAATGTGCTTCAAAGAGTTTGGCGACAAAGTTGTTGTTATTATGGAGTGTTTTGAGGTTGCTGCGGAAAAACCTTCTGGAGCTGCAAAGAGATTCAAATTTACTCGCAATGTAAACATATCCAGACAGTAAAATACTTGATAGGTATCACACCCCAAGGCACCGTCAGTTTCATTTTGGAAGTTTGGGGTGGACGATTATCTGAAAAACATATTATTAAAGAAAGTAGTCTGTTATAATAATTAGTTGCCTTAAGATATTGTGATGGCAGATTGAGGGTTTAAAAAAAGTGATGAAGTCCAGTTTTACAGAGCTAAATTTGCCATTCCTGATTTCCCTTTGGGGAAAAAATAACTCCACCCAATGGAAGTAGAAAATATTAGAACGATTACCACCGTTAGAATACACGTAGAGCGAATAATTGGACTTGTAAAAAGAAAGTTTGCTATATTACAATCTACCATTCCATTGGATTTCTTAAAAAAAAAGAAGACTCAACAGGATAAAATTGTGAAAGTTGCTGTTTGGTGAATTTACATCCTTCAATAATACCATTTCATTAATTGGCATACAAAAAGTTTCAAGCACTATTTTATTATATATTCATTTTTATTTAT